ACTGCTGCTCCGGAACCAAAAAGGTACGGGTCATCCTGGCATTGCATGATTGTGACATGATCGCGCAAAAGCCTTCTGGCTCGTACCTCAAAAGAAGTGCAGCTTTACTGCGAACTCAAGTCAGCCCAGCTCTCAGCCCCAGAAACAATAAGGTCGATCGTTGGGTTAGATTAGTGCTGGATGGGAAGGGGCCAAGGTTAGCCCATAAAAGCGCAATTGGCGACTGTCGTCGTTTGCCGAACGGCAAGTCAAGCTGTCTTACACACGAACCTTTGCGCAAAGACTTTTTCAGGAAATGCTTCTCAACCAAGGAAAGGCAAGGTAATGGCCAAAAGGTTTTCATGTTGTCTGTTCATTAATATAGGTTTAATATATAACTGTAGCCGTCTACTTGTGCATATGCAGTTTGACTGCCCCTGATCAGGTCAAGTCTGCAATCAAACGGCTCTTGCTGGACTCTGCAGCGCAGCACAACCCCTTGACAAACCTCTTGCCTTTGCATCCTTCAAATTGGTGGCCTTTGGTCGAGGACGCATTTTCTTCGCCCGTTTGCAGAAATTTGTCAGAGAGCCTGCTCACGAAGGCAATTGACCATGCGGAATGTTCCTACTTGTCGATAGATGGCACCTTTCGTGTTTGTCTATCATTGCTCGGACAGCCCAAATTCAATGGTCCACCTAGTGTTCGGCAGCAGTTCCCATACACAGGAGAGAGTTCCATCACCCGAGTGATTTCCATCAGAGGTCGGAGCGGCGCTGTCTTAGGATTGATCCCTGCAGCTGGTGAAGGGCCTTCTCACATACTGCACTGCTTGCAATCAGCGCTGCCTGAGCGAGGGCTACAGCAGGTTGAGCACATTGCAGTTGACAACCCTTCAGGCAAGCTCTTCCAAGAGTTGAAGGGCACCTTGTGCAAACTAACCAGCGTGTCCTTAGACCCTACTCATGCCTGCATGCACTACGAGCAGGCGCTTGGCAAACATCGTTCCGCCGGATCTGGTACGCTGCGAGAAAGTTTATGGCCAAGTTTTGTGGACGAGACCCTGATATCACGGCCAACATATGGGGGCCCATGTTTGAGGGCAACAACTGTCCAAGAATCACTGGCCAAGAGCAAAAACTTCGCGAAGAAATTAAGTCAGGGTTGATGCCAGCACGAAAAGCACAACAGGTGTTGAGCGCCTCGGATGCCCTGAAGGTGTGGCCAACCCGCTTGCAGTTCGTGGAAGCCATTGCTGCTCGGGCAGCAGTTCACAGTGAAGACTTGGCCAGAAAGATTGAGGGCACAAAGATCACAGTTGCCACCATCCTATACAACCTGACTGTGGGTGACCGCATGGAATGGTTGTTCAACTGCTTGCGCTACCGGCACTTCCTTCCCGAAGCTGTCCGGGTACTCTTACCGTCTGGTACAGCTTCGAATGAGGCGTTGCATGCGGAGATCAATGCTTGGTTCCGCCAGGTCCAGCAAATGCATCGCAGCACTCTTGCCCTGAAGCTCCGCATCCAACAGCTTGGCAAGCTAGTCCCTCACATGGTGGCGTTGCATAGCCCTACATCGCGTCAAATGCCCGAAGGGCATCTTCTGGCACGCTATTTGGGCAATCCGCTATGGTCAACAAGTGCGTGGGCAGAGGGGCTCTCACAACGACAAGTTGACTTGCCTCTTGCAGGCCAAAGAAAATCGGAGAAGCGGACAGTTGCTGAGGCAGGATTGAACATGAGAAGACCAGCAGCTCAACGCGCAAAAAAAGCACGCCTTTCACTTTAGAGCGGCGTCCTGGGTTGTCCCGGGCAGGCGTGTACATGCGGAAACCTGCCAAGATATCCTGACGAGCGTTGAAGACCTGTGAACGGAGAAAAAGCTGGCGCGTCAATGCGCTTGAGGGTTCCTGCGCATGTCAGTGGGGAGGTGGCGTGTTTCTGATTTGAATATTGTGCCGTCAGCGGTGCTTGAAGGAGTGTGAGTCAAGCCTACAACCAAAAACAAACCCACCAAAGCTAAGAACTAGCAGAGAACTGTCAGTCTCCGTTGCTGTTTTCCAAACTGGTGGTGAGCTGCGATACAACACCGCAATGAGAATATATTCTTCACTTAAGTCAGCGCCCTCCAACGGGGTGACACAGCACACCACAGTGGGAAGATGTTGCGAAACACATGCAGGAAGAGCAAAGGAGCTTTATACAAATGTTTTCACACGAAAAGTTAGCGCTTTACTGCTACTGCAGTAGACCCTTACATTGTCAGTTCGCCCTGCCAGCCGATGATTTCCAAGCCTTATCTCTCTTTGGCGAACGGCTTCGATCCTGTCAAATGAATGCCGCGGAAACTGTATAGGTGTGAGGCTCGAGACACACTCTCCCCACGTCATTCCCGCTGCACAAACATATCACAAAACACTTCTCTTGCTCTAAGATGACAATCTTTCAGTAGGCCACTTGTGCCACTTCACGAATTATATCCCTCTGAGCTTGAAATTCCGCACTACAAACTGTAGGAAACCTCTCCGACGTACGCCCGCATTAGGCTCTCCTTCTTTGTGGTCGTCGGACTCGTCGGGTCCACCATCGGTTCCTGAATCACCTGGGATTTCAATTTCTCACATGGACACGCAATGGAAAAAATGAAAAAGGAACAAACCACCGTTGCAAAACCACTGGCGATCACAGCCTGACCACGCCTTCTTTCACATTGTGTCTTGGCGAAAGAAAAATAGACTGCACTTCGTACAGTTACCCCGTGTTGGTCCTATATAGTACACGCGCGCACCTACGTGGTTGGATGTGTGTTTGCGCGCGCGTGTGCACATGCGTTCCACGCTGTTTTCCTGACGGGTATTCTGTCGACTAAGACCTCTTGAATACATCGTCCGATCACACGCCTCCATGACCATCCGCGTTTGAAAATCGATATTTACGGTATATATACCATTCAATACCTCTCCCGAACACATCCATTCCGGTTCCCCATGGCTTCTGAAAGAGATAGGTCAAACGCATTGGATTCCAGCAGTATAGTTCCTGTTTGGTTGGCGATGCCATTCTGTTTGTTGGGACCGACGGCGCAAACTCGGCCGCCGTGCACCAGAGGCTGGAGGAAAAAGGAAGGTTGCGGTGAAGGAGTGTTGGCAGCCGACATGGCGTCTTCGCAGCGACGCTGAAAGTCTCTTTGGCTGCTTGGCTCAGCTTCGTGTTCAGGTTTAATTACAATGTTTGAGTCGCAACAGGTTTCACAAATGTTTGCGGACCTTAAGTCTGCAGTCATTGTCCTTCGATGTTAGTCTACCAAACGATACGGAATACGGACATACTCTTTTCTTTCATTGCGCCATCGCGCAACTAATGCTGGGCGCGCGCTTCCCAGCTCAGCTCAGAACCAGAAGCTGTCGCATTTTGTGCGTTTGGCGCCTGAGGTTCTGTGCAGCATTTGTATCATGATCGCGCGCATCATGGCGTGGCACGAATTAAGTTTGTCTCACATGAGGCAGCGCAGAAGTGTGTCGACGAATGGAGGGCCGAGTTTATGTGAAAAGTGCATGTGTGATACAGTGAGTAACAGGTGGGCACAGACATCGGACCAGGTGACTATACCTATACCAGTTGCAATGTCTGGACCCAAAACTATATGAAACGACAAGACTTCTGTCAAACTTGAACTGTCCAAACTTAACCCGATAGAATCTCTCGACAAACTCCGAAGAAATGACCGCTCGACACACCACAGCTGCCAAATGTGCAGTCTTGCAGTTCAGCTTGTGTTGCTCTTGCGGTCAATGCGGAAGCGCACCTTGACCTGATCGCTGTGGCAAGCCCGCGGATGTCGGACAGGTCACCATATGTATGAATAGCGCAAAACAGTCTCTAGCCTACAGTTTTCTCGGTAGGGCTGCCACTGCGTGAAACAGACTTCACAAAGTTCAGTGGACCACAAAAGTGTGTCGATGAGTGGAAAAGCGAGGCTTGGATGAAAACATCCACTGAGAGAGATCTCCTCGACGACCAGGCAGATCTCCTTTTGGGCTTCCGTGGTCACGTACGGCGTGGCGCTCTTCGGCGACCGAGATCCAAGGAACACCTTAGGTGTACCAGGACCGGATTTTTTCTTGAAAAGCGGAAAGAAACAAAGATCGTCAACAACCATCGTCACCACTGGGCATCGATACAAGAGAAATCCCTTTCCAGGATCGTCCATCGTTTTCGATACCCTTTTCACGAGAGGACCAACGAGTGTCAAACGACACAGGATCCCTCCAGACCGTGAGAGCCGGTGAGAAAAGAAAGCATTTTGTCGCATGCATCCTTCATGCCCAGACACGACGAATGGGACTGCCATATGTAGGCCGGCATTGTTCACGTTAAAACTTAGCTAACCTAGCTAACTTAGCACATGAAAACCAAGCCGTCCAAACTTGCGTTCCGAAACCACAAGAACTGTTTTGAAACCCGAGCCGGCCAAGCTGAACCAGATAGAATAGTGCTGATCGATGCAGCTGTCAGAGTACAGCGCGTTCGGCTTGAGTTGAGCGTGCTAGTGCGGGATGGAGAAATGCTTTGGACGTTTGACAATCTTTATCACAGCTGTGCGCCTCATAGGGCGCATTCTTCCCAGCCACGGGGGGGGCCCCCCTCCCCGACGAACAGAATCAACTCTTACAGGACCAAACTCAATGCACAATCCCAACTCCTGATTGTAATACATTTTTGCTAAAGCAAGGAGAACTCAGGTAGCTCAAGCTACCTTTCGTGACTTTGTTTAAAGAATTTCTTGCCTTTACTGCTATGCAGCCTCCATCCTGGACGCAACTTATTCTCACCTGGTTGAACTTTACAGCAAAGTGTCTTTGATTCTCTCTTGATGTACGAACGCGTGGAGGGTAGTGATTTCTACCAGGGTCCCATCATCTTCAGGTAATGCTACATCTACAGCCGTGAGGTGAGTTTCTCCTCTTTCTCAGAATCACAAACCAAACCACCCCCGAGTTCACAGCTTATCCACCTCTCCTGACGCTGTTCTCGCTGTGTTTCTTGGTGCCCTTGGGCAAAAAGACCTCCAACACGCGGTCGTTGGCTTTCCGAAACGGATGCGCCAGCGAGGACCTCCGTCGGGCTTGCTGCTCGGACACGAGGATTCCCCAAAAGAGAGGAGCTCCACAGGACAACGCAAGAAATTCCAGCTGTTTCTGGGAAGACTTGTCTAGGAACCCTTTCTGTTTTTCTGTTCACGTGGCATGGGATTGTTGAGCAGTGGCCACGCCCCATGTTTCATGGTTTGATCTTTGATTGATTCAGTTGTGCACTAGCATGCATCGTAACTCATCAAAGTTTGAGCGAGAATACTGCTTTGAATACGGTTTCTCCGAATCAATCCGATTCCACTTACCCTCCCTGCAGCAAACATGGTAGTGGGGGTTGCCCCCTGTTTGGTATTCGGATTTCATGGTCTCTCTAGGGGCTGTCGACGTCCACGTCCATGTTTGTTGCAGAGAGGGTATATAAATATAACATCGTATAACAAACGATCTCACCACTTCCTGGAAAGGATGACCGTCTGTCAAAAGAGAACCGGTACACCCATGGCAGGCAAACGTGGACCCCCCAGATCTGTGTAGCCAACACGTTACTGTGCCAGCCAATACTGAATAGTGAATAGTGAACCATATGTTCTGCGCTAGTCTTGAATACTTCACATGTGAGCAGTGTTTTATTTGGTGACTACAGGGCCTTTACACTGGAAGCATACCTTTGCAAATGGTGCCTTCGAGGCTACACTGGTGTGCGTGTGTGTTGCCTTCGCGATGCACCTGCGCAAACCATTTTGGAACATGAGACAAGGATTGTTTGCCGCAAATGGCCTTCGCTGTTGGGGAAAAAAAGAGTGGGATGCACGATTTGGCTTCGCATGCCTTGGCGCATGCACCAACTGTGAGAATGGCCTTCGCGGGCTGTGATGCAGTTCCACTTGACATGGAAAAAAAGGACTAGTTGCTCATGTGTGGATCAGTTTGTCCTATTGCTGCTCTACTCGGCGTGGAAATCATCAGATCCATGGATCAGGAACCCCGCCATCTGACCGGCGTCATGCGGCTAGAGGATGTTATTATATCTATATATATTTATATATATATATATGAGTGTCTGCCAAAACATACTGTCAAGCAAAGGACATGACTCAGCAAGGTGATCGCTTTTGAGGAGGGGCCTATCGCTTTTGCAGGTTTTAGCCACAATGTCAACATAGCTGAACATATCCAAAACCTGTGGAAATTCGCTTTTGAGGGGGGCCTATCGCTTTTGCAGGTTTTAGCTCGGCTCAATTCCTGAGATTGCTGACCACTCTATACTAAATTATATAGTTGTTGCGCGTTTTTTGCGATTCCTCATATATGCCGGTGTGTATTGAACAACGACCTGAAACCAAGATCCATACCGCGGGTGTGAACTAGCAACCAGAAGAGTGAGTAGACACGGACAAAACAAATGGATCAATAAGGGTCCAATAATGGTCCAGGATGTTTTTTTCCAAAAACTGTGGACTTGATGTTTCATGTTATTTCCCACTCTCATGTGCACTGATGTGTTCTCACTATGTCGATCACATGATGTCTCTTTTGGGCCTTTTACTTTGCTACGACCCTAAACCTCTCCGCCCCTTTCATGGCCCGTGAAAAAACCTCGCCGAAAAAAACCTCGCTCGCTCCACCATCTCTCACGTGACCCCTTCGGATCGGTTCCCGTCCTTCCCGGTCGTCCCGATTCGGGGTTCGTTCGCCCAGGTCGACCATGTTCGGCTGTCGCGACTTAGGCCGACAGCCAGGTCTTTCCAAACCCGTCGGGTTCTTTGGGTTCTTCTTTGGGTTCCTTGAAGATCGACCCAGAAATGGTCCTTGAACCGAACAATTCCCATCCCAAACATCCCAAAACACATCCCCCCCCAAAGAAACGAGAGGAAACAAAACGCTCTTCCGCCCAGCGACCCAAAGCTGCTTCCCCCGGTGTGTAGCTCGCTACTCCGGGAGCTCCATAAGGACCTCGGGAGCGAAGGTCCAAGGTCCAAGGACCCTCGGCAGGTTGGAAACTCCGCAAGCGACTGTCCTTCGGCAAGCGACGTCCGGAACGTCCGGAGCGTTCCGGACGCTACGAACGTAGCTCCTGACCTGACTACTGGTAGCAAATAGCTACTAGGACCTAGGAGCAAAGGGCATCGCTAGTAGGAAGATCCATACCATGACCCTCCAAGTCCAGTGGCGTTTGGGGGAAAAAGGACCACAGGTGGTTTCTGGGCACCGGGAAACACCTCACCAGGATGGTCCTGGTAGGCAATCACGCTTTGTAGACACGGACATCCTCTGGCACCTAAATCATGGAAATGGGGGTGGTTGGCCGCAACCCCTAACAACAAAGTGAGGGAGACCCTTTGAGTCGAACTGATTTGGAGCTGTGTCTTTCTTCGTTGACCTTTCGCTCCTTTTCTCGCAAAAAGCCCACTGCCCACACCGCTCACATCCGCTCCGTGCCTGGTGTCTGTGCGGGCTCCGCAGGAGTCTTGGAGCTTCAAGCTAGCGCTCGTGCCGCTACACACCACGGAATAGTCCACGCGACAGCCTGGGAGGTCGTTGACGCGAACGGGAGCTTCGGTGGAGGTTGACCGCACGAACCCACCGGTGCTCGTGCTCGGGTCGACCGGGCGAACGCTTTCCTTTGGGTTCGATCGCGGTGCGTCGAACAGGGATGCGAACAGGTTGGTCGGATCTGAGGCTTGTCATGTGTCATGTCTGGCGATCAGATCGAATCCATGGCGATGGCTCGAGACGAAGGAACCCCATCTCCGTCAAAGCCCGACTTGTAGCTTCTTGCTCCTAGTAGCTTCTCCATTGCTCCTACCAAAAAGGACGGTCTAAGGTTATGATGATCAAGACCCATCAAAGACTGGAAATCATTAAAAAGACTTTAAAAAAAAAAAAAAAAACAGAAAACCCGGTCAAAGACCGTCCTTCCCTCCATTTCGAGCTGTGTTGTTTTTGTTTCTTTTTTGTTTCTTGTTTGTTTCTTTTTTGTTTATTTTGTGTTTATTGTTTGTTTATTTTTTTGTTTCTGTTTTGTTTTTTTGTTTGTTTCTTTTTTGTTTCTTTTTTGTTTTTTTCCTAGGGTTTTTACAGAAAACCTGATTTCAAGGCCAGCTTTTGCTAGAACAGAACAAAAACAGAACAAATAGACGTGTTCTGGGTGCTTGTGTTAATATTGTTGTATGTTTGTTTGTTTGTTGTTTTTTGTTTTTTGTCTGTTGTGTTTACACATTTTGTGATTGTTTTTTGGTGCTGTTTGTTTTTTGTTTATTTTTTGCTTTTATTATCTTTTTCAGGATCATCAGTTATTGATTATGTATTTTTCATAAGTCTAAGGATTTTTCGTTGGAATCACGGCCGGCCGAAAGGACATCGTGATTCGATTCTCCAGGATGGACCGTCTGACGGTCACGAACCACGTCGCCCTCTGGACAACGGATCGTTCCCTGAGGCTCTCGCCTTCACCATACTCCTTCGTCGCCAACTTCACTCCTCGTTCGAACGATCGGCTCCCACCGACGGTCGAATCCTCAAAAAGAAGGGATGTTGTTCAGTGAGAACTGTGAGAACTAGTGGGCGAATTCCTGAAAAAGCAGACCACAAGAGCTTCCCCAGCTTGAGCCCCTCGCCCCGGCTGCCCGATGGCCGAGAAGGGGGACTGCTGTTTGCTGCGTGTTGGCTATCACTATCGGATTGAAGAATCCCCAAATGTCCTGGGGCAACTACATTCATTCAGAATCAGATAGATAGAACATCCCCCTTACTCAACGGCGCCTGAATTGGTTTTATTGTTTGTGAAGACTGGGTGTTTATAAACTGAGAACCCAACACGTGTTTATTATAAACTGAAAAACCTGTGTTTTGTACAATAAAGGGGGCATGTTCTAGCTACAAATTGTAACATAGGTCACTGACAAATGGGTTTATATAGAACGACTGAACTGACATCTGAAGAAAAGAATAGAGCGTATCTATAAAGTGAAGTGACCAAGGATTTATATAATGAAGTCCTCATCAAACCTCCTCCTGTCCAGTCATCCTATCTCATGGTCTCATCATGTTATAAATACCGAAAGGCGAACGGCCGCACTCCCCACCGCACACTTCTCATGCCCTGTGTCTCTGCGTGCAATCCCAGCATTACTTGTGTTTATGAAATAAATAGAACTACATCTGAGTGATTGCCTTTATGAAATCATGATTTATGTTCCTCCTGACAGTATTTGTAAAAAGTGTGCCTTAGACAGGACCATGATCAGAAGATCACAGTTTGTTCAAGCTCAACATGGTGGTTTTAATTAAAATGGTCCTATACGTCAGCAACAACATCAAATCCACAAACCTGTTTCAATTGCTGGTTTGGTCATTTATAGATGCAAAATGATGCAAGGGTGCCTTGGTTTCACGGTTTCCAAGTTTACAACGGCGCAGTTGGGCATGGCGCAATTCCCTAAAAAGGTGGTTGGGTGTTGTGGACCCCCATGTGTTCAATACATCTTTGGGGTGCCAGTGCCATCGAACCTCTGAAACCACTGCATGTGGTTGAAAAGGGGTGAATAGGGATCAAACCACTGTAATCAATGAACGGGATACACGGCGCGGTAGCTGAGCAAAAAGTTTTGCAAACAAGTACATGCAGGCTGGACTCCTTAGATATGACATTTCCTTGGAGGTCAGACTTATATAAGAACATGCTGAATGCTACTATCTGCACCTGCATGGCACTTGTCCCCATCGGCGGTTGGCAGGTCTTGTGGGCATAAAACCACTTGTGCCGTTCGCAGGCTAAGTTGGAGCCTTGCGTTCGACTTCCCAACTCCCAACGCGATTTTGAAGTTGCGCCTACAGAGGGCTGGGAAATGGAGTGCAACCCCTACCCGTTCTTGGAGTCCAATAGTGGAACTTGAGCGGAACGTTCTCCATGTAATAGATTTACAGTAGTTCAAGGTGACAACTCCCCCCACTGGAACTCAGTAGGAAGAAGGCACGGATAAAGCTACGTACCTCTTGCTTCACGCGGAACAAGTTCCAAAGCTAAGTTCAACTAGCTCATCTTGAAAGACCACAAAAAGAACTGTTGGACTCTCAGGGTATACCTACCTGTCCAACTTGCACTTGTGACCAGCTATGGCCGTTCCACCAGGTGTCCATTCCACGCAGCGGAATGAAGGAAGTCAAACTCGCCACCTGAACGACGGAACAACGCTGGCGGGGGGCAACGTTGGAACAGCAGTGCGCAAACATGAGGGGTGGGACTCTGTTATATTCTAAGCCCTTGAGTGGCCAGCGGCCAGAGACCAGAAAGGGAACACGTCTTTCTGTTTTGCAAGGGGTGTGTGGTTTACATGTCATGTGTGTGCATGTAGCAAACGAGCAGCACTGAAGCACACAATGTGTTCATCCACAACTGCACATTTGATCTCGGATCTTACTTCTGGTCAGTCTTCTTCCTGATCTTCACTCATTTGCGGCAGGAGTAATTGGAGCAATACTCCTTGGTTGGCTTTCCTGGCTTTGTGGAACGGCGCGCCTTGAGAAACTTCGACTTGGCCAACTTTAGACGAGTTGTGCCGTTCACCAAAGCCGAAGGCGACTTGGCAAAACAGGGATGTGGCCGTTTGGGGCTGTGCAACTCCTGCAGGGAACACAACACCCTTTGATGCCAAGGTCTTCAAGTCAGCCACCGCGCTCGCATGGATCACAAATCTTGGTGTTGGAGAAGCAGCGCGCGGATTAGATGCATGTCAGAGCCACGGCCTATGGGATGGGATCCAAACACAGTCCGACTCAACAACCCAGCTGACATTGCCAGTCAGATGGAAGGCTTCGGCCTCTTGCATGGCCTCATCAACCCACAGGTGGGCTCCTGACCGCATGGATTAGCTTCATGGATGGATGGCCCCAACCAAATAACTAGACTGAAGGCCGCCCAAAAGTGCTTTCCAGGCACCGAAAGACGGGATTACACGGTATATACAGAGGTCAATTACTTTACGCCGGGCGATCCCCACCGTGGCATTCCCACCGAACTGGCCGGCCGCAGGGAGAAACGGACATAACTTATTCAGAGTTAGTGCCCTAGTTCTTGTTGCGCTCGTCGCCCGGAGCAGATACCTAACTCCTAGCAAGGCGGCCACAGGTCTTGTGGGAAGTAAGCTGCCAACTTTATTTTGAGCTCGAAGGAGAAATTTGAAGAGTCCTGCAGTTCTCAAAAGGGGCTGAACGGATGAGAGTTGGGCAACCAAATCTTTCCTGCAGGCACCAGCACCACTGCGCTGCATGATCTTAGCACGGCATTGAGAGCAAGCGACATATCGTCTTCTATTTGGAAACTGGCCCACACGTCTGCACCAGGCATTGGAGACAGTGAAACAGACCAACAATTCGAAGCAAGACCTCTTTCCACCACACGTCTGGCTACTCCAGGCTGCGGCTGAAGGAGCACGTCTTCGTCTGGCCAGGTCTGCACGAAGCGGTCTGAGTTGCGAGCTGCGAAGCACACGATCGTCTTACACATCTGCCCCGAAACGCGGTCGTACCTAAACCCGCATGTAAAACATGAAGCTCTCCGCAGAAGACCTGGATCAAGCAGAAAACCGACCGGGGCATGATGCCACCGGTGTTCAGCGCAAAGCCACATTCTAGACACTCAAGGAGTCGCTCAACCACTGGAAGAAGACGTGGAAGTTCAGTCACATTCTATAGTTTAAACTACAGCGTGGGCAACATCATCAGCTTTGCACACGAGCAGTAGAACACTAGCGGCAGCTCTTGCGTGTGGCAAACAAATTCCAACTGGTCGAAGGAGGACAGCTCATGTGTCGAGTCGACAGGAACGTCAATGAGTCGCAGTCGAAGAAAGTTCTGACAAAGATCGTCGCAGGGTCACAGGGTGGATCAGCCGGAATCGGAAGGAGTCATTCGCCGTCATTGGCAGGCTTTATCTCGGCGCTCGGTGCTGGCACCTGGAGCAAGCAATATTCACAAGTGCACTGCAGTGACATGGGCATACATAGACATACATACTTGCAACTGTACTGGACTTGTTATCATGCGTTACAAATGTGTGCAATTCAATGAAATGCACCCCTACACAGACACTGTATATATTTGTTGGCTGTCCTGCCTCCGTGGCAACCACTTTGAACCTAATTACTTAGGATATACTTAGGGCAAAACACACACGTGGGGAAAAAGGGTGAAAGGGTAGCATTGACAGGCGTAGTATTAGACCAGATTCTAGGAAATAACAGTGGATGATGATGGTTCAGTTGCAGGCCTTTCTCTAAAGTAGTGATGTTCTTGTTCACCGACTGTTACAGGTAATGGGACAGACCCTACATATGTTCTATTGCATGAAAAAATATCATTGTGTATTACATCATATATGGATTACATTGGATTAGATTTGACTTGATTAGGTGTTTATATATGAGATGTAATCTATTGTTGATGAATTTGGTGGAGTCGCTCATCTAACTCACTGGCCCCGAACGGGCGAAAACCTGTGGTGGACAGACCTGCACAACCTACCTGGGTCAGTTTATGTTAAACAAAAAGCAACGGGCGACGATACGGATTTTGGTTGGAACTTGCGCCATACTCTAAAGGCATCATCACAATATTCAAACAAAACATGAAATCGCCATGAAGAGATACGTTCTGTTCATCAACATGCATGAACCAATCCTTTGAAAGGAAGATCCAATTCAGCCCCAAAGCACCGCTGCCCCAAGGGGCTGCACCGCAGTGAGTCCGTCGCCTTCAGGGACCCTGTTCCAAGCCAATTCGCCCCGTTCCACGCGATCGGGAGCGGATCGGACCCCGGTGTGCCGGTTTGCGGGTTTGGGGCCCTGTTTTTGGGGGGGGTTCGTGTAGCCTGTATCGAGGTTTTGGAACCGTCCCAAAAATCGGTTCCCCTGAAAATCGAAGCGTTCGAGATCAGGGGTTCGATTCCGGTTCGGAGGGTGCTTCACGATGAACTCTGAACTTTTGTTCACCCCAAAAAGAACCGGTCTTCTCTTGCACGGTTTTTGGCGCGGTGATCGATTTCACGTGTTCTCGGCCTCTTCCCGTCCGCCTTCTTCGTCCCCTCTTCCCACGCCGCCTGTGTCCTTGGTGGCCTGATCGCGCCAGGAGATTCTCAACGCCTCCTGGCGCGCGATCGAGTCTCCCCGTGTCCCACGGCGGTCTCCGACCGCGGTCCGGTCCGACAGGGGTCGCCGGTCGATCCGCATGGCGCATGCGGCATCGATTCATGGGCAGGTGATCGGCGATCAGAGGTGAATATTGGAACATCTACCTGACATGGTTCACCCTAAAGGAGGAAGTGTATGTCTGCAGTAAAGTGAGTAACTGGTGGGCAACTGATAACAGGTCTGATTTGCACCGGGTGCAACTACTACCCAAAGTCTCTTGGAATGATCATCGTCAGAGAGCTTTTGGCACACTCTCTACCTATAGGGAAGACTCTAAGAATATTCAGGTGGAAAAAAGGGACACTGAATGGATCGATCAAACCCAGACAATCCACCTGCTAACTTAGATAATCCTCCCCTTGAAGGAAGAAGAGTGCGCCATCTGATTTGACAATCGACCCAATTGTTTATCAAGTATGTATATAAATGATGATGAATGTTGGTGATTCTCCTGGCAACCCCAACCCCTCTGACCCTCAACATCGCGGTTGTTCTTTTTCACGCAGTCCTTCATCACACAGTCCTTCTCCGCATTGCTTCGAAAACCTGCAGCTCGCTCAAGCAAGCTCCTCGGTGCCGGTGTCGCCCCGAAGAGTTCGCTCTCCACTACCGGTGTCTGTCTGATGGTGTCTGGTGTCTGTGAGAGGTCAAAGCGGGGTTTTCACTCCGGGTGGAGGTGTGTTTTTTTTTGCGTGTGTGAGAACTGTCCTCCCAAAAATGGTGGCAGCCCTTTTCTGCCGCAGGACCCGTAGGAACGATTCCTCGACCGGTCCCTGGGCCTCTTGTTCGCCACCCAAACGAGCGCCCGACCCGTCCGCCGGGCAACCAGCAAAGGAAGGTCGCCCGTACTACCCATCCAGGCATCAGGGCGTCGTCCGATTTGGCAAAGAACGCCGATCGATCAGCCGATCGCTTGAGCCACTGCCGGCCAGTGATGTCACGGAATGCGACGACAGAGAGGAATGGGTGACGAATGGAGCCTTTTGTGGACGAGGAAAACGACGGTGGGGGTGTACCGCCTGGGTGTCACCTGGAGGATGTGAAGAAGGAATTTGCCAAACCCATGGACGTTTTCGAAGGTTCCGAACGTGTCACCCGGTGGAAGGGCTCCGTCGTGTCACCTGGACCAATGGGATCTACCATGTCCTATGGACCGGTTGGATGTCTCGTCGTTTCCGGCCGGTGTCACAACGATGCCACAACGAGGCAGGCCGGTGGCGGCCGGTCGGTGATAGAGAGCCCAATGGAGGATGTCCACCCACTAGGAAGTAGCAGTGTCTTTATCAGTCGATCCGGTCTTACCAGTAACAGTGGATTTTCCGATGGTTAGTAAAGGCCTTGTTCAACAACAGTGATACTTGCTTGCTGACTGTTACAGGTAATAAGACCCATAATATACTATGTGTCAAGTTTTGTCACATGTTCGTCTCTCCAACTCGCTCGGGGAACCCCCGAATTTAAAATCCTTGTTTGTTTGAGCAAAGATCCAATGGTCCATGGACCTGAGAAATTGAGAAAATCGTAGATCTTTGTGAAATGGCGCTGACCCAAGACTCAGACAGAAACGTACAACCGGCACGCACAACCTCCCTTCTCCAAGTTAATTTTGACCTGTCGCATGGGGGCTTTGAGCCTGTACGTCCACAAAATGCCCATCCCTCAGGCAGAACAACTTCTCCGCAATCCGCAGAAGAAGAGGTTCTAAGAGGAACCTGCGACTATTCTTTCATATATGTTCCTCCAAGACAAGCTGGCAAGCTTGTGCTGCTGCAAGACGCTTGGAAACTTCTGAAAACAATTTCACAACTTGAGCTTGCTCAAATGGCAAAAATCGGAAGACACATGAACAAATCAACCTCCAAGCGTCTTGAGGCCAAAAAAGGCTTCCTGGACCACCTCTCACTTTCCCATGAGCTCCTTGAGCTGCGATCGTCCATTCAACAAGAACCAAATCTTACAACCACATACACAAGCCCTGGGAATCCAACAACCATTCTTTTGGTGTCTTTTTCAAAGAACCCTTCCTTTACTCAGAAGTTTAGACTACAATTGTACCAGGTCAACCATGGTCAACCACTCTTTTTAGTGGTCTTTGAAGGCTAGGTCGCTAGGGCAAGGGACAACATCTGCAAAGAAAGCACTTCGTGGACCGCGCGCGCGGTGCGACTGCGGTCCAAGCCTTGATCTTCCCGTTCTTCAACAAGGGCAAGGTGCCACCCATGCCGCCATCGTTGCAGCCTATGGCGGGTGAGCGTAAACCGGGTGAGACTGACTCCCTCCGCTGGATCGGTTTGGTGAAGGTCGGCCACTTGAAAGCCCGCAGGTGTTCTGGATGGTGGGTTGATGTTGGTTGCGGGGATATCTGGGAGAAAACACCAAGTACATCAAAGCACCAAAGAGCCAGAACAATCCTCATCTATTTGATAACTGTGATGAGGTTGCAGCCTGCAACAATCGTCATCCCTTGAAACCTGCCCCTGCAAAGGATTCCAAATGCAGGACATCCAAGCATCCTATCATAATTCCCGGCTTTCCCCGCCTCCAATGAAGTTCTGCTTCACAAAGACCTGCTCGAAATGAGGGCATGAAATCGAACAGTTGTGTTTCTCGACCTGAATCCAACCAAAACCACATGTTGGTTCAAAAAAGGAGAGGTCGACCTACTTCTTGAGGTGCAGTTCCACCACCTACTTCTATTGCAACGTGAAAAACAGCACATTGTGGCTATCTCAGTCACGGTGGCGTCCATGGCGTCCGTAGAGAAGTTCCCCACGAAGACGCAGGGTCCGATTCAGGAAGGCGCTCCTTAGAGGTTAAGGGCTGTCCATTTTGTCACCCCGACAATGGGATCTTTCATTTTTCCAAGCTGACGAGAGGAGTCCATCGCAAAGGAGCTGACGAGATGTTGCTCCGAGTTTCTTTTGGTATTGACTAGTCTCTCCTTCGGTTGAGACGGTGGGTTGATACGTGGTGACTTTATTTTTGGCTGTCAATGGCTGTGAGGTTTTCACCCCGCGCCCTGAAGATGAACATGGAACCCACACGAACCAGTGGTTGGTGTGTACGAACGGAAAAACCATCTTCCAGGGTACCTTTGTGAGGGTCCATGTTCGTTTTCGGGAGTGTACCTGGGCCTTCAAAGGGTTGCGAACATGGAGATCCATTGAGAAGTGCTTGGTAGGTCTCTTGGAGACCCCAAAAGGAAGGTGCTGGTCGGTTGACCGATGTTGGACCTCGGTCGGACGAGTCAGCGGGGGGCGGGAAACGAAGGACATATCGAAGTGATCAGGGCCCGGTTTAGATCGGTGAATTCGATGGCAGAAAACAAATAAGAACTCGCTCAGCACTTGGTCACTTGGTCCAAAAGAATGAAAGAAGACACAATAAAAAACATACTGTTGATCACTTTTGACTCCATCTCCACCGAACCCTCTCTCTCCCTCACCGAACCAACCGCCCAACCGTGGTTCTCGCCCACCGTGCGCCTTGGGGACACTGGTCGAGCCGCCGCACTTGCCGGCCAACTGGCTGCGATCAAAGTCCTCCACCACGGTCGGAGCGTATCCTGCGAGGCACCGAGTCCGCGAGACCGAGTCCGCGCCGGAAGCCACCGGCCAACTGACGAGTTCATTCCCTTTTTAAGATGCCCCCCTATCAGGAAAAGGAGCATGAAGAGTTGGATCAAAACTAGGCGCTCGTGAGAATAGCTCTTTTACATGGGCTCCTTGTTCGGTAAACAGAAGAACTTCTTCCAACTGACGACCTGTCACCGCTGGACGCATGATGTCACCGTCCAGCGTCCAGCCTGGCCCGTCAGAAAAAGGAGAGCCCACGATGGGCTCCCAAAGCAAAGCCGAGGCTCCGTGCGAAGAAAGGAATATTAGAAAAAAGAGACAGAAATAGTGACAGTGAAACGTAAAAAAACAAAGAAGAATTCATAGATAAGCCAGACCATGTCTGGGAAAATCCGTGAAACTTATCTATCTATTTGGTAGCAAAACTCACCCGAACTCGCCGTGAGACATGTACCCACCCCAGTCGGGTCACCGCGTGAGCTAGGATCAAAATAGAATCATCTATACAGCTGCCTGGCATTGGGAAAACCGCGACAAAGCTGTTGAACAAACTGAGTTCATCCCAAAACACTCTCACCATCTCTCACCAAGTTTACTTGACTATGAACAAATTTGGCTTAACATAGGCTTTGACATGGATGCAAATACCCAAAACGGTGAGCTTTCCTCCGCTCTGCTCGTCTTATGTCTCTCCCGCGCCACACAGGGCCGGGGAGCCGGTCCTGCATCCTTCAGCGCGGCCAGCGCCTTCTGGCAAAAGGGGCAGGAGCTGCTGGAGAAGACCACCATGTCCTCAACGTCCGGAGCGGCGTGCGGAAGCAGGAGCAAAATCGGCGGCGGCGAAGCCACAGTAGAAAAAAACCCAAGTTGAGGCAACATAGCAGTGCTTCTGGACCGAGACCAGAAAGGTCTGGAAGGGGCTCCAATGTTTCTTCAACAAGATTAGGACAACTATGGACTGCTGTGAACATCTGTAAGAGGTCAGTCGCCCAAAATGGATTCGGAGGCCGACCCGTCGCGTGACCAAGAAACCGGATGGCACGTACGCACAGAACCAACGAGTGCGATTTGTGTGCTTGACAAAGAGATATTTATATACCTAGAACCCATTTGACCTTTGTTTTGATAGGGAAAAGATCATCTTTTGGGTGGTTGGTGGTCCAAAATAGAGGTCATTCAGGTTCTAGGTATATATACTCTACCAGAAGGATTGCTTGACAGATTGCTTGGGTGTTTTGTGGCATCCTATGTTGGAGCTGGTCCTGAACGGCCTGAACGTCTAGTGGGAGTAAATTCTGAGAAAGTGTTGCGACGCTGGTCGTCTTGTCTCGTCCTCGTGTTCCTTTTTGATGTTGTCTTTTGGAAGCCATTCATGCTTCAACCATGACCAAGCTCGCTCGCCCCAAACTGTCACGCGAGTCACTCAGACATCGTCAGACTCCGTCAGACATCGTCAGAATCCAGAAGCCCCACACAAGCTCTTTCGGGCTGTCGATTGAAAGCCCGTGACAGAGCAACGACGTGGGATGTCTCTAGGCTCGGAGGAACTGCATGATGTTGTTGATTGAACCGTCCGAGGCACGTTGGAGTTGATGACCTCGTCAATGGATGCCATGGTTTTGGAAGTGCTACCTCCCATCAGCTGATCACGTTGGCAAGCCGAAAACTGCCGGGCCATCGCGCAGATGCCGGGCCATCGCGTTTCGTGGGGGGGGGTCCCACACACGGAGCACCAAGAACACGAAACACCCCAAACATCAAAATCCTGCCAGGCACAAAAGCAAGGAATCCATGGATTTGGTTTCTTTCGATCGCCAAATGGTGCCATGGTGCCTGGGTCGATTTGAAATGTGTGAAACTTAGATGACACCTAGAAAAACCAGCACCCTCACTGCCAGGTCACTTGAGGCTTGGGTTTAGGGTTTTCTAACAGGTCGTTGTCTCAGGCGGTCTCAGGTCTCGGTGGCCTGTCTCAGGTCTCAGGTCTCGGTGGAAGAGACCAAAGTGACCAGTGTCTTGTGATGAACATCTCCCATCAAAAAACTCACGCGAAGTCCTGATGTCCACTGCAAACGAAGAAGACACCCAGCTCCCTTCTTGCTGTCCATCAAAAAAGTCTTCAATAGGTTTCTCTAGGACAATATGAGCTACCACAACATCAGCCAGGAATGATAACCACCATTGACCATAAAACTAGCAACTCTTGGGTGGTGTTGCTTAATTACAAAGAAAGATAAAGGCCTATCTGTCTATCTGTCTATGTTTATTAAGGCATGAAACGCTTTCAGTGTCACCTCTTAGGAAACATCAACTGCTCGCGCGCACGTCATCAAAAATACCTATCCGTT